TTATGTTTGTAGAAACTAAAAGTATATTTTTCACTGGTTCTATGAGGGTATTTCTACTGGGTTTTCACCTCAGAAAGGCAGACAAAAATTGTGTACAAGTTGTATCTAAGAAAACGAGAAAGCAAGAATATTTTTTCCAGTTATCATGGAAATATGTTTGTACCAACTAAAAGTATATTTTTCACTGGTTCTCTGAGGGTATTTTAACCGGGTTTTCACCTCAGAAAGGCAGAGAAAAATTGTGTACAAGTTGTATCTAAGAAAACAAAAAAGCAAGAATATTTTTTTCCAGTTATCAAGGAAATATGTTTGTACAAACTAAAAGTATATTTTTCACTGGTTCTCTGAAGGTATTTCTACCGGGTTTTCACCTCAGAAAAGCAGACAAAAATTGTGTCCAAGCTACATCTAAAAGAACAAGAAAGCAAGAATATTTTCTTCTAGTTATCATAGAAATATGTTTGTACAAACTAAAAGTATATTTTTCACTGGTTCTCTGATGGTATTTCTACAGGGTTTTCACCTCAGAAAGGCAAACAAAAATTGTGTACAAGTTGTATCTAAGGAAACAAGAAAGCAAGAATATTTTCTTCTAGTTATCATAGAAATATGTTTGTACAAACTAAAAGTATATTTTTCTCTGGTTCTCTGAGGGTATTTCTACCGGGTTTTTACCTCAGAAAGACAGACAAAAATTATGTACAAGTCGTATCTAAGAAAAGAAGAAAGCAAGAATACTTTTTCCAGTTATGAAGGAAATATGTTTGTACAAACTAAAAGTATATTTTTCACTGGTTCTCTGAGGGTATTTCTACCGGGTTTTCACCTCAGAAAGGCAGAGAAAAATTGTGTACAAGTTGTATCTCAGAATAGAAGAAAGCAAGAATATTTTCTTCTAGTTATCAAGGAATTATGTTTGTACAAACTAAAAGTATATTTTTCACTGGTTCTCTGAGGGTATTTCTACCGGGTTTTCTTCTCAGAAAGGCAGACAAAAATTGTGTACAAGTCGTATCTAAGAAAACTAAAAAGCAAGAATACTTTCTTCTAGTTATCATAGAAATATATTTATACAAACTAAAAGTATATTTTTCACTGGTTCTCTGAGGGTATTTGTACCGGGTTTTCACCTCAGAAAGGCAGAGAAGAATTGTGTACAAGTGGTAGCTAAGATTAGAAGAAAGCAAGAAAATTTTCTTCTAGTTATCATAGAAATATGTTTGTACAAACTAAAAGTATATTTTTCACTGGTTTTCTGAGGGTATTTCTACCGGGTTTTCTTCTCAGAAAGGCAGACAAAAATTGTGGACAAGTCGTATCTAAGAAAACTAAAAAGCAAGAATACTTTCTTCTAGTTATCATAGAAATATATTTATACAAACTAAAAGTATATTTTTCACTGGTTCACGGAGGGTATTTCTACAGGGTTTTCACCTCAGAAAGGCAGACAAAAATTGTGTACAAGTTGTATCTAAGAATAGAAGAAAGCAAGAATATTTTCTTCTAGTTATCATAAAAATATGTTTGTACAAACGAAAAGTATATTTTTCACTGGTTCTCTGAGGGTATTTCTACCGGGTTTTCACCTCAGAAAGGCAGAGAAAAATTGTGTACAAGTTGTATCTAAGAATAGAAGAAAGCAAGAATATTTTCTTCTAGTTATCATAGAAATATATTTATACAAACTAAAAGTATATTTTTCACTGGTTCTCGGAGGGTATTTCTACCGGGTTTTCACCTCAGAAAGGCAGACAAAAATGGTGTACAAGTTATATCTAAGAAAACTAAAAAGCAGGAATATTTTTTTCTAGTTATCAATGAATTATGTTTGTACAAACTAAAAGTATATTTTTCACTGGTTCTCTGAGGGTATTTCTACCGGGTTTTCACCTCAGAAAGGCAGAGAAAAATTGTGTACAAGTTGTATCTAAGAATAGAAGAAAGCAAGAATATTTTCTTCTAGTTATCATAGAAATATATTTATACAAACTAAAAGTATATTTTTCACTGGTTCTCGGAGGGTATTTCTACCGGTTTTTCACCTCAGAAAGGCAGACAAAAATGGTGTACAAGTTATATCTAAGAAAACTAAAAAGCAGGAATATTTTTTTCTAGTTATCAATGAATTATGTTTGTACAAACTAAAAGTATATTTTTCACTGGTTCTCTGAGGGTATTTCTACCGGGTTTTCACCTCAGAAAGGCAGACAAAAATTGTGTACAAGTCGTATCTTAGAAAAACAAGAATGCAAGAATACTTTTTCCATTTATGAAGGAAATGTGTTTGTACAAACTAAAAGTATATTTTTCACTGGTTCTCTGAGGGTATTTCTACCGGGTTTTCACCTCAGAAAGACAGACAAAAATTGTGTCCAAGCTACATTTAAGAGAACAGGAAAGAAGGAATATTTTTTTCCATTTATCAACGAAATATGTTTGTACAAACTAAAAGTGTATTTTTCACTGGTTCTCTGAGGGTATTTCTACCGGGTTTTCTTCTCAGATAGGCAGACAAAAATTGTGTACAAGTCGTATCTAAGAAAACAAGAAAGCAGAATATTTTCTTCTAGTTATCATAGAAATATGTTTGTACAAACTAAAAGTATATTTTTCACTGGTTCTCTGAGGGTATTTCTACCGGGTTTTCACCTCAGAAAGACAGACAAAAATTGTGTCCAAGTTATACCTAAGAAAACATGAAAGCAAGAATATTAGAAAGGCAGACAAAAATTGTGTACAAGTTGTATCTAAGAAAACAGGAAACATGTTCGTACAAACTAAAAGTATAGTTTTGTCACTGGTCCTCTGAGGATATTTCTACCGTGTTTTCATTTTATAGAGGGAGACAAAACACAAACACGAAACGATATTCGATGATAGAATGTGTCGTGTTCTGACACGAAACGTTACTCGACAAGAAAATATGCCGTGTTCGGACACGAATGATTCGGGCAAGTCCCTGTTCTAACCTTTATAATTTTTTACATAAGAATTATGCTTTTTACCATACAGTAAAAACTCGTTTATCCGGATCTCGATCAACCGTATTTTCGATTATCCGTACAAATTTTCATTTCGTTTTTTTTCCTCAATGATTATAGACCTTTTGATATATGGGCAAATCCACAGAACCGGCCGATTTCATGTTACTCACATATTTTTCTATTTTAGAAGTATTATATTAATTATTTTCATACTTCAACCATTTTGTAATATCTCTGAGAACCTATTGAAATAAGAAAATTGAATAAATGTGAACCTTCTAGTCTTTTATAAAAAATAAAATCGAATTAAGTAACTTCAAAAATGAAATTTACGGTGTTACTCCAGGTATAAATTTTAATTCTTATAGGTATAACTTGTTCGGCATAGATCCGAACAATTCCAAACTGTGGTGAATTATAGTTTACTTATTGAAGAATGTTTTGAAAGTAATAAAAAATATGTGCTCTTAAATAAAAAGAAATGATAGTCGTTGAAAGTAGCGTTACTCATTATTTTATAATAATGAAATGTCTATACATTTTTGTAAATATCTTTTGCGGCGATTATTCGATTTGAATTTTTCAAATTGGAGCTTATTGCTTGTGAACAGACGAACAAATGTATGTATCATAGAATAGAGTGCAATCAGAATTAAAGAAAATATTTCAATAATTATCACTCTATGTTTAAGCGTGAACCATTTTCAACTTAGCCTTTTTTCAGTAGCACAACTACAGGATAAAATATGATGAGTTGAAAACATGTGTGATTATATAAAGACATTATTATAATTCTTGTATGCAAACGCCAAATTATATTTTCAATTTATAACGTCTAAAAATTAAAAATAAAAAAAAATTTATCGAAATTTAACTAGTTAATCGTGAAAAATGAATTATCCTTTCATTTGTTTTATTTTCAAAGTTATATCAAAATCGATGTCAATAATGTCAGTTTGTTGGTTAAAATAGTTAATATCAAAATTAGTAAGTAAACAATTTAATTTACAGAAATAAAAAATTAAATGCTAATAAATAAAATATATAATAAAATATGATAAAATATAAATAATTTATTTTTGATAATTAAAAAATTAATTATTTGTATTTTATCATATTTTATTATTCAAAATGTTTTGCACATATTTCAAATAATATATAAAAAAAAACAAAGAAATGCCATTTATAATTATAATTTCCAGAAGAAAAATAATATTTTCGTTTTTGGCTTTTAACTCAAACGGCATTAAAATAAAATGAATCACGCAAGAAGATAATTGTTCTTGAATATATTTTAAAGAAAGTAAACCATAAATAAAAGGTGTGCTTGCTATTTGGAAAATTTTCATCTTGATAAGTAAAAATCGGCCGGTTCTGTGGATTTGCCCATATGTTTGTAATCTATTTGTCTATTAGTTCTGATAAACGGGTTTATACTATACTTTCAAGAATATATGAAAATAATTTTATGAAATTTGAAATAATTATTTTCTTTCCGTGTTTCAAAATTGCTCTATAGAGTTGAGATATAATTTTTTTTACTAAATATTAAAAAAATAAATGTATTATAAATGACTAAGTTTTAAAGAAATTATCAGGTCAACGAAAACTTTCTTACAGATTATTAATAAGACAAATTTTTATTTTTTCTAATTAATGCCCTAATTTGTCAAATTTTAAGTTACATTGCCTAATTCGTTTCCTATTTTTCTACTGTCTATTTAAATAAAAATTACAATTTTCTATTAAAATGCAAATTAAAAGGGCTCAAAATTTATAAAAAAATCTATCATTAGTTAATTATTGTAATTAATTGCAATTATTAGTAATAATTTATTATTGTTACCTACTATCACAATTACAAATTTCAGAATAACAATAATTATTATTATTAATTATTTTATTATAACGAGAAATAAAATTAAAATGTAATATTTTCTTAATTTACTTTTGTAAAATTGAATTAAAGTGTATAAAATAAGTGTGGGAAATAATAATTTAAATTATTTAAATTACCTCCTCTTCTATGATAGTTTCAGGTGCAATATGAATAAAATCTCGTCCTCTCTCGCAGGCTTTTATATTTCTATTGAATGAAATTCTTCGGTTAGAATAATACACATTTAAAATTTGACTCAATCAAAGACTAGTGAAATTTTCCATCCACATTAACAAATTCTTAGCAATTACCAGACCTTCGATACTTTCAATAATTTCCGCTCTCGTTGCATTAAAAATTCCACGTTTATTATACACATAAAATATAGAAAGATGTTTTAAGCTATACCAAAATCACGTTGCGCCAACTGAAAATAAATATATCAAATAATTAATATAAATTAATATAAAAATAATAATTACTTTTTTATATTAAATAAATTGTCACTTAAAGTACATTATATATGTAATGAAATTCAGTGATTTGAAAATTCTAACAAATTAATTTTGTTTTCCAGGTATCATAAATAATCCTTACAATTTTTTTGATGTCTGATTTAAGCAATTTATTTGAATTTAAAATTTTGGCATAATTTTTAGTTTTAATGGTCAAAAGAATTTTGCAGAAGATTTGAAATTTAAAATAAATTTTCTGCTAATTTAAACTGCTGTAGTTTTTATTTGAAACTTATTTAGATAATTGAATTTTGGAAGAGTTACAGTTGAAATTTTTAGAAATAATTGAATTTTAGAAGAATTTGTTAAAAACAATAATTAAATTTTACAGAATTGAAAATAGTTTATTAAATAATTTTAGATAACATTTTTTAAAAGAAATTTAATTTTCAAAAATTTATACAATTCAGATTTTTGTAAATAATTGAACTTCAAGAGATTGTTAATTGAAATTTTATTGTGATTTCTGTTACTGAAGAAGTTAGTAAAAATTACAGCCAAAATTCAAACAAAAATTAAACTTTAAAAGTTTTTAATTGAAAAATGCTTTCAGATAGTTGAGTTTTCCAAGAATTATTATAAAATTCATTAAAAATAATTGAGTTTCGTTAATTTTATTTGGTGATTTTTTTTAATTTTGAACAATTATTGAATTGCATAAAATTTTAAATTGAAAAGTAGTTTAAGAGTATGTGGGAACCTCTCACGTGAATTATTATGGGAAGATGTGTTTTTTTAGTATACACCTTACGCTAAAATTAGAAAATATTTTTTTCTAACATTTTGAAGGATGATAGATTGGGGTACACAATTTACAGTACACAATTTTGAGTTAAATTGTTAAAAAGTGAAGTTTAAAAAGTGACATTTTTAAACGAAACTGAAAACAAACATGGCGGCGCATACCCTTAAGATACAGTCAACCATCCGAGTGAAGCCTTTCTCAGTAAAGCCGCTTCTCTAGTTTGTCGAGCAAGCTTGGAAAAACATTGCCCCTTTCCGCGTTGACCGGCTTTACTAGGATGGTTGACTATAATTGAATTTTCAAAAAATATTATAAAAATCATTAAAAATAATTAAATTTCGCTAGAGTCATAATTGAATTTATTAAATTTCAAAAAGTTTTAGATGAAAAATTTTAGAAGGTTTTAAATTTAAATATTTTGAAAGTAATTGAATTTCAAGTGATTTTGAATTGAAAATTTTTGGTAATTTTAATTGATTTTAAAAAGTTTTTTTTAAATTGTTGAATTTCATAAAAAATTTTATTGAAAAATAGTTTAAGATAATTGAATTTGTGAAGAATTTTATTATCTTTAATGAATTTAATGAAGAAAAATCGCCAGAGAACCCGATGAAACTGAAACTGAAATTCGTATGAATTAAAATTTGAACAAATTCAAATTTGGATAAACTGAATTTTTGAATTGATTAAATCAATAGTTGATGAAAATTAGTAAGAATTTAAACTTAAATTGATTATAATTTGTATATTTTTAGTCAATAAATGCTTCGATCAATTTTAATTTTTTGAAATTTAACCTTAATAATTTTTAAATCAAAGAAAAAAGAAATTTTTTGATAAATTCAAGATTAGGTCAATTGAATAATTTATAAAAAAGAAATTTCTATAATTGTATTCTCTAAATTAATAATAGCTTTAATCGATTTTTTTGCGCATTGTAAATGTAATTATTCTTTAAATATTACATTCACAATAAATCAATTCATGAGAAAGGTGAAAAGGTAATAAATTATGAAAATAGGTAAAACAGGTAACAAAATTTTAAATATGTGAAAAAAGGGAATCGGTAATAAACTATAATCCCTTATAAAGGAAAAAATTGTTGAAACTTTTTACAGGAAGTATATAATTGACTTTTTTGTAAATTTGTTCAAATTCCCCTGACAAAAATGATTTTTACTCTTACTTTTCCTTGATTTGTGGCTACCCTGATATTAAAGCATTTATTTTAATTATTATTATTATTAATAATAAATAAACAAATAAAATGTTTATAAAAGCGTAATTACTTTTCACCTATAATTGAAATATTTATTTTTTTATTATTTTTTATTATTATATTATTTTTATTATTATTATATAATTATCAAAATTATTTAGTTGCAGACATGACGAGATTTGAAGCCGAATTTCTGAAACGTTATAAATATAAGATTCAACTTTTTTATAAAAATGTTGTATAATCGATTGCAGAAAATACCGTAATTCCTTATTGATTATTGATTATATAAAATCAAATATTTTGTGAGAAATTAAAAAAAATTTAAATTATTTATCACCGAATACATGAATTTTTATTATTACTATTTTTTTTAAACACATGCATATTTATCATGTAAAAAAAATTTTTTTTGTACCACCGAGAATGTAAAAAAAATGTAATAATATGTGTCTTATTTTATAAAAATTTATATAACTTATTTCCAATTTAGAAACGGAAATTATTCACAAAATCACATCACTCACATAAGCAGCACCATTGCGAAAAGCCATAAAATGTAAAAGTCTGCAAAATTAATGTTATTTGATATTTATTAACAAAATGATGTGATTGATAGGTCCAGTGATTGCACTGTGATGTTAATTTTTTCGACCGCACTTTTTCTCGTAAAATACTGAATAAATTGAGTGGAAATTTTTGTGGAGACGTCTAAAATATAATAAGAAAGTTCAGTGAAATGCAAAAAAGTTGATATTTTTTAAAATAATTGGAAATTATTGGAAAATCCGATCAATGACGTTTAACCTAACCTCAAATTTTCTAAAAATTATCAACACTTTCGCATATCACTGCCCTTCTTTATAATAATTTTCACTTTTTCCCAAAATTCCAGTTCAATCCATTAGGTATTTTACGCGAAAAATAATTGGAAAAAATAATATTACGGCGGTCACGTGACCTAACAATCACGGTGTCTGTTAAAAAAGAAGATAATGTGGCACAAACAAAGATGCAAAATAAATTATGATATTGATATGATGATTATAATCGAATTTAAAACAATTTATTAAATAAATGAAATAAATAAATTAAAATATTATACTACTATGTGACAAACATGAAAAGTTGGCAATTTCTGAACGCGTGTAGTTTGCCGCACGATGGAACCGATGGTGTCAATTTCACTCGTATTACACACGCGATGTATTTTTATCTAATTGCACAATAAACAAGATGCTAAAACAAAACATATCTCTAAATAATAAGAAGTAATGAATATTTAAAGATAATGAAATATTAATTAGAAAATAAAAGAAGCGAATGTACAAGTATACTGAACACTGCGTTCACTGATAAATGTGAAGTTGCATGTGAATCGAAATCGAATCATTCTTATCCGACAGTTGTTGTTGAAGATGTAAGATGGCGCTAGTCATTCGTTCTATACACTAAAGGTGCTTGTATACCTCACCGATCCTGAGTATACTTCCGTCGTATACCATTGGAGTAAAAGAGACACAATTATCTTTTGTCTCTTTTACTCCAATGCTGCACGACGATAGAATACTCGGGATCGGTGAGGTCTACAAGCGCCTTAATACGAAAGAAATTAATTTGCAAAAAATACTTTAAACTTTAAAATGAGAGAATTTTGTCAATAATAACAAATTATAATAATAATTCATAACCTTAAATAAATTTAAATATAATATTAATAATTTATTGCGAATATGTTCTAAATAACAGCGAGCAGAACAATTTTACTTTCTGTCCGCTATTCAAAGCATGGAATGTAGCGTTTATCGTGCATATTGGACAAAAATTAGTAGTTTAAAAAAAATTTATTTTTACCTATCTTCCAAAATGGAAAAAATAATTTTACATAAATATACTATTATAAAAAGGAAAAAATTCTACTACTAAATGAAAATGAGTTTTTTTAGAAACAAAATTTCTAAAGTACCTATATTTTGATATATTTAGAATTTTTTACATGAAAATAATGCTTTTTAGCATATTTTCCAGGATTTGAAAATAATTTTATAAAATTTTAAATACTTTCACAAAATTTGAAATAATTATTTTCTTTCCGTGTTTCAAAATTGCTCAACATAGTTGAGATTTTAAGAAATAATTTTTAAAATAAATATTTAAAAAAATAATTGTTTTATAAATGACTAAGTTTAAAGGAAATTATCAGGTCAATGAAAACCTTCTTACAAATTATTCGTAATCAGAAATTTTCATTTGTCCTAATTAATGCCCTAATTTGTCAAATTTTAAGTAACGTTACCTAATTCGTTTTCTATTTTTTTACTTTCTACTTTAATAAAAATTACAATTTTCTATTAAAATGCAAATTAAAAGGGCTCAAAATTCATAAAAAAAAAATCTATTATTAGTTAATTATTGTAATTAATTGCAATTATTAGTAATAATTTATTATTGTCACCAACTATCACAATCACAAATTTCAGAATATTAATAATAATAATAATAATTATTATTATTATTATTATTATTAATTATTTCATTATCACGGAAAAGCGTTACGCGTTATGCGTTATGTATGACCTTTTTATAATAGGAATACAATAAATAAATTATTTTTAAAAATTGGTAAAATATATTTAATTCATTAGTAAATAATACTATATTTTATGAAATCCTGTATTATTGGGTTTATAAAAAATTTTCTAAACTTTAGAATTTTTTATATGAAAATTATGCTTTTTAGCATATTTTCCAGGATTTGAAAATAATTTTATAAAATTTTAAATACTTTCACAAAATTTGAAATAATTATTTTCTTTCCATGTTTCAAAATTGCTCTACAGAGTTGATATTTTAAGATATAATTTTTGAACTAAATATTACAAAAATAATTGTTTTATAAATGACTGAGTTTGAAAGAAATTATCAGGTCAACGAAAACTTTCTTACAGAATAATAATAATAATTATTATTATTATTATTATTATTATTATTAAGTAATAATTCTTTTATTATAACGAGAAATAAAATTAAAATTGAACATTTGCTAAATTTACTTTTGTAAAATTGAATTAAAGTGTATAAAATAAGTGTGGGAAATAATAATTTAAATTATTTAAATTACCTCTTCTCCTATGATAGTTTCAGGTGCAATATGAATAAAATTTCGTCCTCTCTCGCAGGCTTTTATATTTCTATTGAATGAAATTCCTCGATTAGAATAATACACATCTAAAATTTGACTCAATCAAAGACTATTGAAATTTTTTATCCACATTAACAAATTCTTAGCAATTACCAGACCATCGATACTTTCAATAATTTCCGTTCTCGTTGTATCGAAAATTTAAGGTTTATTATTCACATAAAATATAGAAGGACGTTTTGAACTATTCTAAAAACCCGTTGCGCCAACTGAAAATAACGCGTCGCGAAGAAAAGGATCTTAGAAGCAAACGAATTATACGTTATGTTTACGACAGTTTTACCTTGATTAAAACTTTCTTTTCGTTTCAGTAACATAAAAATCAGTTTTTATTGATTATTTTAGATATAATAAAGTTCAAAATTCAAAATTTCAAAATATAACCTATAATTTTTTGCTTCTAAGGTCCCTTTTTTCTCAACGCGTGACAAATATATCAAATAATTAACATAAATTAATACAAAAATAATAGGTAATTACTTTTTTATGTTAAATAAAAATTTAAAGAAATGAAAATTTGACTTAAAGTACATTATATATGTAATGAAATTCTATGATTTGAAAATTCTATAATAAATTAATTTTTGTTTTCCAGGTGCCATAAATAATCCTTTCTAAATTCTTTTAAAATTAGACCGCAACGAACTTGGTCGAAAAATAATAATCTGTCCCTTTTAATATTTTTTTAATTGAACAATACCTGCAAGTGAAGCAGCTCAAATATTATTCATTTTCAATGTCGATAGAGAGAGTGATTGCATCCACATTGATCGTTGTAACATTATTTGATCTTTCGGCATAATTAAATCAACTTCTTCTTCATTGAATTTAAATTTACTGGATTCATTCTCTGCAAAAAATTATTATTATTTTTTTATTTATAAAAAATAAAAAATGAACAATTATCGAACGAAATTACGAAACTCAGAATTATTGTTCTGAATTACAAAAAAAAGAGACTAGTATTTTTTATTTGTAAATTTGTCAATCAACAATTTTGTATTTTTGATAAATTTATTGTAAAATTGCAGGCCTTGGATCGACTTTAGGATGCAAAAAAAAATCATTTTAGTCGATTTACATTCCAAAAAAGGTGAAAAAATCGATTTCTTCATTTTACTTAAATTTTAATAATAATAATTCTCTAAGAATATTATCAAGAAAATTTATTTCGAATATTTTAAAATCAAACTAAGACAAATTTTCTACATTTTAATTAAGTAAAACAAATTTGTATAAAAAAAATTTTTAAAGTTTCATTTTAAAAATTTTTTTGAAGTCTGATATAAGCAATTTATTTGAATTTAAAATTTTAGTTTTAATGGTCAAAAAAATTTTGCAGAAGATTTGAAATTGAAAATAAATTTTCTGTAAATTTTATCTGTTGTAGTTTTTTTTTTATATTTATTTTCTGCCAACAATTCAATTTTGGAGTTTTTATTTGAAACTTTTTTAAATAATTAAATTTTTGAAAGAAATATTAAAATTAATAAAAATAATTGAATTTCACCAAGTCGAAAAGGTCGTATAATACAAGATCTGAAATTGTTAAAAAAAAGAATTAATACAATTTTTTTAATGTACTTAACTTTTGATTTTAACAAAGATTTTTCCTTGAAAACTATAGAAAAAAATTCCAACCTTCTTCCTTGACTAGAATTAATTAAAAGACAATTTTTGTCTCCCTTTCTCAGGTGAAAAACACAGTAGAAAACCCACCAGATAGCCTGTGACACGACCAAAATTTGTTTTCTGTAAATTTCAAAGAAAAATCATTGTCAAAAAAAAAGTGGTCGTGTCACGGGTTCTTTGGTGCTTTTTCTACTGTGTTTTCGTCTCAGAAAGAGAGACAAAAATTGTCTTTTAGATAATTCTAGTCCAGAAAGGAAATCCCAGTAGAAAATTCCGACATCGTTTACGACGTCGTATTCTAAGTAGTTTGCGACGTAGTAAACGACGTAGTAAGCGACGTAGTAAACGACGTAGAAAACGACATAGTAAACGACGTCGTAAATGAAAGCGGAATTTGGGATAGTAAACTACGTCGTTTACTACGTCGTTTACGATGTTGCAAAAGTCCAATATCCAATATTAAAAATTTTAATAATAATTTAAAAAATCAATAATTTAAAAAAAAATTTATTTTTATTATTTTTTAATAGTTATTATTATTATTTTATTTTTAATATTTAAATTAAAATAAAAAAATGGTCATCAAAATATTAGTGAAACCATTTCTTCCAAAAAAGAATTTGTCTCAAATCCAATAAAGGAGAGACATTGGGCAGAAAAAAATTTCGACAAAAAAAAAATTTTTGATCACTGCTTATATACTAATCTAATGGCACCTCAACTGCGAGAAACAGTTATGATGTTCGCCCTCCCTGTGGCGTTGAGCGAACTTAAGTCCAGAGCTGAGCCATCAGCGCAGCGCGGAAACATTTGAAAAATTTGATTTTATTAGATATTTTATTTTATTTTAAATATGACAAATAATTAACTTAATAAATAATTAATGTCATAAATAATTATTAATAACATAATGTCATACTTAATAATTCGTTAATTAATTATTTTTAACGAAAATTTGACAAAAAAAAAATTTGTTGGCCAAAAAAAATATTACCATTAAAAAATAATTTTTTTGTTAAATTTTCGTAGTAAAAAAAATTTTTTTAAGACAATTATTTGTGACCTAAAAAAACATCACGATGAGAATATAATTAACAAAAAAAATTACTCGTAGCACAGAAAAAATTTCACCATGAGAAAATAATTTTTTTTAAATTTTATTTGTAAAAAATTTATTGGTAGCTCAAAAAAAATATCACGATGAGAAAATAATTTTTTGTCAAATTTTCTCTGTAAATAAATTAATTAACTAAATAACGTACCGTAAAACGGGGTTATTTCGCTCATTGCGGGTAAATTCGCTCACCCACTTTTATGCTTTATTTCAGCTTTAAAATAAAGTTTAATACCTTTATTAGCAGGTAAAAATGTTAAATTTGTTAATAGAAATACTAAATTTTAGTTTTTAATCAAATTTAAAGCAAAAAAATGGGTGAGCGACTTTACCCGCACTGAGCGAAATAACCCTGTTTTACGGTATTTATTAGTTACTTAATTTTTTACTACGAAAATGTAACAAAAAAATATTTGTAGCACAAAAATAATATCAAGATGAGAATTTTAATTATTTTTAAATTTTCTCTGTAAAAAAAATATTTTGTGGCCTAAAAAAATTATCACGATAAGAAAATAACTTTTTTGTCAAATTTTCTCTCCAAAACAATTAATTCACTAAATACCGTAATAAATCGTTGTTTTTTTTACTACGAAAATTTACCAAAAATTTATTCGTAGCACAAAAGAATATCACAATGATAAAATAATAATTTTTTTTCAAATTTTCTTTGAAAAAAAAATTCGTGTTTTTAAAAAAAATCACGATGAAAAATAATTTTGTTGTAAAAATTTCTTTGTAAAAAAATTTAACAAAAAAATTGTACGTAGCACAAAAAAATATTACGATGAGAAATTTACTTATTTTAAAATTTTCTCAGTAAAAAAATTATTTGTGGCCCAAATAAAATATCACGATGAGAAAATAATTTTTTTTGTCAAAATTTCTCTGTAAAAAAAATTAATTAAATAATTATATAATAATAAAATGTTTGGTCTGTCTTTCTGTCCTAACTTGAAGTTGGCCTTTTCTGATTTCACGTGTTTTTTTGAATAGTAATCTTATGACGTGTCAAATTTTGACAATTCTTTTTCTCATTTTTGCCAAAGTTGTATAATTGTGTTTCCAAATTTCTTTAAAATAAAATAATAAAATAAGTTTCTTTAAAATTCCAAATTCGAAAATTCAATTCACGAAGCTGAAGTACACAACGTTTACCAACGAAATTTTTTTTAAAGTTGTATATTAATTTAAAAATTGTATATTGATTCAAAAATTGTATACAAATACAAAAAATTTATGATGAGAAAAAAGATGCGCCAGGAAATTTCGTACAAGATAGTAATTTGAAAAAAATTTATTTTTAAGGTACCAGGGGCCAACGATTACCTATTAAATATTAATTATAAAAACACAGGCCTCGAATCAACTTAAAGACACAAAACAGTCGTTTTAGTCGATTTATATTCCAAAAAAAAGTGGATTTGTTTTTCATTTTAAGGGGTTTCCTAAATTTTTTTGCCCTAAAATAGAAGGTTTTTAAAAGATCGTGTACTCATAAGTTTTAAAATATAATTGATCAAAAGTTTTTACATGTTACTATATACGTCAAGAACTATTTAAAAAAAATTACGATCTTAAAAAATATTATTATGCTCCTTCTACAGAGGTCGCTATGTACACTGGTCAAAATCAAAGTCCTTTACGGTAACCACTGTAGCTCATCGCAGAATCATCTAAAATAAAAAAATCAAACGTGATTTTAAAGTTTAAGACCTAATACAGGTCCTAAACCTCGAGATATTAAAAAAAATCAAAAATTAAAAAAATGGCAAGCTTTGGAACCCAAAAAACTGAAAAAACACCATTTTTTGACAATCAATCACTCACAAAAACCTGATTATTGAATATTTTAAATATATTTGAGGTTTAGGGCCTGCAAAAACTTCCACTGAATCGAATGCAACTTGAATTTTTGAAATCGGTCAAACGGTTTTTGAGTTCTACTGGTTACCATTTTTAAATATAGTGTTTTGAGAAAAAAGCGTTTAAAGTTTTGATATCAAAAGGTTATAATTAGTCAAGCAGAAGTAACTAAATCAGCTTGAAAATTCTTACTCAGGGGTTTTTGGGGTCGCTGATTACGAATATGATGTCAGAATTTAAAAATTCAAAATGGCGGATCCAATATGGCGGACGAAAAATTTTAAAACTAATCGGATTTGCTCGAAAATGATGAAATGATATGAATATGATGAATTGTCCGTACTGGGTCCATGACCATGTCGGGTTTATTATCAGCAAACCAAAAAACCTTTTTTATATTTGAATTTTCGAATTCTGTCATCATATTCAATCCAAGCATTTTTTAAATTTGTCCGTCATCTTGGATCCGCCATTTTGAATTTTTAAAATATGACTTCAGATTTGTAATCATCGACCTCAAAAACCCCCAAGTAGTAAATTTCAAGCAAATCCAAGCATTTTTTAAAAACTCGTCCGCCATATTGGATCCGCCATTTTGAAATTTGAAAAATGGACACCGGATTCGTAATCAGCGACCCCATAAACCCCCGAGTAGGACATTTCGAGCCAATCTAAACACTTTTTAAAAAACTTGTCAGCCATATTGGATCCGCCATTTTGAATTTTTAAAATCTGACATTAAATTCGTAATCAGAGACCCCAATAACACCCCGAGTAACGAATTTCAAGCAAATCCATTCGCTCGGTTTATCGTGGACACGAAAGGGTTAATTATACGATCTGTAGACGCATATATATATATATATATATATATATATATATATATATATATATATATATATATATATATATATATATGTATTTTGTTAAATAACTTAAGATTTTGAGCGAATTACGATCTAATGATTTAACCACACATTCTTAACATACTTTCCTATCAAAAAATGAAGAAAAAAAAAATTCGATTTTTTTGACCAAAAAAATTTAGGAAACCCCTTAACAAAAATATTTTACAGATTTTTAAATAAAACTTTTTTTTTTAATAATAATCCTTTTCGAAGGGTTAAAGTTGAAATTTTTAGAAATAATTAAATTTCAAAAGATATTGTTAATTTTCAAACAATTATTAAATTTTACAGAACTAAAAATAATTTATCAAACAATTTTTGGAAAACATTTTTTAAATTTAATTGAATTTTCAAAGATTTAAAATTGAGATTTTTGAAATTAATTGAAACTTTAAGTGTTTTGTAATTAAAATTTTAGATGATTTCACTAAAAATTTATTAGAAAATGCGGACAAAATACAATAATTTGAAAATCATTTTTAATTGAAAAATGGTTTCACATAGTTGAATTTTCAAAGAATATTATTAAAATAGTTAAAAATAATTGAATTTCCTTAGAGTTATAATTGAAATTATTAAATTTCAAAAAAAAAAAATTTCGATGGAAAATTTTAGAAATTTTAGATGCTTTTAAATTCAAATTATTGAAAATTCAATTAATTTTGAATTCAAATTTTTGAGAATAATTAAATTTTATTTGATTTTAAATTTGGAAAATAATTGAATTTCAGTTCATTTTGAATTGAAAATTTTGGGAAATAATTGAATTTTAATTGAAATTGGATAATAATTTAATTTAAGTTCATTTTTGATTGAAAATTTGGATAATTAATTTTGAATAGAAATTTTAGAAAATAATTGAATTTTATTTCATTTTAAATTGAAAACTTGGTAAATAATTAAATTTTAAATTGAAAATTTTGGATAATTATTGAATTTTAATTGATTTTGAATTAAAATTTCGGGTAATAATTGAATTTTAGTTTATTTTGAATTGAAATTTTTAAAAAATAATTCAATTTTATTGTGATATTTTTTTTTAAATTATAAACAATTGTTAAATTTCATAAAAATTTTAATTGAAAAATAATTTTGATATAATTGAATTTGTGATGTATTTAATTAAAATTATTAAGAATAATTAATTTAGTGAAGAATCATTTTAGTTCATTTGTTAAATAATTGAATTGAAGAAGATCTGAAGAAGATCTACATTTTATACAAAAAAAATGTATTTTATTTACATTTTTTCAAATGTAAAAAAAATGTCGCATTTTATATAATATAATAACATATAATTTTCATTATTATCATTTAATATGTTATAATATTCTAATAAATTAAATTATTATTAATAATATTAATCTTTAATTTCTTTATAACAAATAATTAAATCCTCAATTTGCCGAGCTTGCGCGCGTTTAATTTTGCTAGTTAGCTTAATAATTAGTTAATTAATTTTTTTACTACGAAAATTTAACCAGGTAATAAATGTATTAAACTTTATTTTAAAGCTGAAATAAAGCATAAAAGTGGGTGAGCGAATTTACCCGCAATGAGCGAAATAACCCCGTTTTACGGTACGTTATTTAGTTAATTAATTTATTTACAGAGAAAATTTGACAAAAAATTATTTTCTCATCGTGATATTTTTTTTGAGCTACCAATAAATTTTTTACAAATAAAATTTTAAAAAAATTATTTTCTCATGGTGAAATTTTTTCTGTGCTACGAGTAATTTTTTTTGTTAATTATATTCTCATCGTGATATTTTTTAGGTCACAAATAATTATCTTAAAAAAATTTTTTTTACTACGAAAATTTAACAAAAAAATTATTTTTTAATGGTAATATTTTTTTTGGCCAACAAATTTTTTTTTTGTCAAATTTTCGTTAAAAATAATTAATTAACGAATTATTAAGTATGACATTATGTTATTAATAATTATTTATGACATTAATTATTTATTAAGTTAATTATTTGTCATATTTAAAATAAAATAAAATATCTAATAAAATCAAATTTTTCAAATGTTTCCGCGCTGCGCTGATGGCTCAGCTCTGGACTTAAGTTCGCTCAACGCCACAGGGAGGGCGAACATCATAACTGTTTTTTTCTGCCCGATGTCTCTCCTTTATTGGATTTGAGACAAATTCTTTTTTGGAAGAAATGGTTTCACTAATATTTTGATGACCATTTTTTTATTTTAATTTAAATATTAAAAATAAAATAATAATAATAACTATTAAAAAATAATAAAAATAAATTTTTTTTTAAATTATTGATTTTTTAAATTATTATTAAAATTTTTAATATTGGATATTGGACTTACTAAATTACTAAATAAATAATATTAAAATAATTTTTGCAACATCGTAAACGACGTAGTAAACGACATCGTAAACGACGTAGTAAACGACGTAGTTTACTATCCCAAATTCCGCTTTCATTTACGACGTCGTTTACTATGTCGTTTTCTACGTCGCTTACTACGTCGTTTACTACGTCGCAAACTACTTAGAATACGACGTCGTAAACGATGTCGGAATTTTCAACTGGGATATAGGAATTATTTTCACTAATTTTCATGGAAAAATCTTTTTCAGTATCAAAAGTTTGGTCATATCACGTGTTCTCGAGCGAGGACGATTAAAGTTGATGGATCTGGTTCTGTCAAGAAAAAATTGATAATTTTAGAAAATATCATGAATTTTCTTCCAATAATGAAGAAAATTTTTTTCTAAAGGTCTTCAAATTTATTCATTTTTACGTATTTTTATGACCAGATTATAGAAATAATTTAAAAATAATAATAAAAAGTTGTTTTAATTAATTTTTTTTTCGAAAAAGAAAATTTTTTGAAAAAAGTAGACTTTTTCCATAATTTTTTTTATTCGGTTCTCTGATTTATTTAATTTTTTCTAATTTTTTTTTCTTCCTCCTATTCTTCCTTTTTTTATTCGATATTCTTTACACATTTTTTAAAAAGAAAATGTTTATTTAAATTGAAAATAAAATTTCATAAAATTAAATCGAGGATTACGTACACGAAGCGAACTTATTTGGTATAAAAAAAATGTTTAAAAAATAATATAAGTTTGGTATGTCAAATAATATAAGTGATACAAAAAGGAACAATTTTGTAAAAAAATTTAAGAAAATTTTTTCTCTACGTATCATTTACATTATTTGCCATCCCAAACTTATATTTTTTAAACATTTTTTTTTAATATCAAATAAGTTCGCTTCGTGTACAGAACCCTCGATTTCAGTGCAAGTATAATTTGCACTTGTCCGATTTTTATAAGTCTTTCAGGTTTCAAATTTATAATATATATATAATATAATTAATAATATATTATAAAAAAATATGACAAATAAGAAGAATGAAAAAAACAGATCGTTAAAAAATATATAAAGTGAAAACAAATATACCTGAGAAAATAAAATTTATAAAAATGAACAAATAAATTATTACATTAACATATAAACAAACAAAACAAAAAAACACTCCGAAGAGTACAATACACGATTAAATTTTTCATTAATTGAACAAATTAAGAGAAAAATACAAAAAGCAAATAGGTATAATTATAATTCCCTAAATAATGTGGCAAAATACCGTCTGATAATTGTTGACACAGGACCGCCATAACCAACAAATTTCGCTATATGCGAAATTATAACAGAGAACTAAATTGTTTCAATAAATAAATTGTAAAAAATAATCAAAAAAAAAGACAAAAAAGAAAAAATGTTTTAAAATTTTCTATTGGCCGAGACACATGCTGGACGCATTCGCCAAAATAAATTTCCGAAAAAGTATTACAACACAAAATTCAATTGTAAAATAGATAAAAATGTTCAATTTTTACGTACCATCAAAATGTGAGAAAAACGTCAATCATATAAATATAATATAAATGTGTAATAATGTTCAATATATCAATTTTTGTTTGCGTCAAAGCCATAATTAGTGGTGAAACCGGCAACTGGAAATGTACAGCAGGGATTGGTAAGTAAATGTAACACACTTTAAGCTGCTTCTACAATAGGTACAATTTGTGTTGCGCGCGCAACCAAGTACAATTTATTTGCACTTGTGCAACACAAATTGTACCTATTGTAGAAGCAGCTTCACACTTCCTAGACCTAGGAAAAATCAAAGGTATTCATTACACCCAATATTACTTAAACCCCGAAAGAAACCATGGTTTGCGAACTGGTTTTCGAATCTGCCGCTTAAGATCCAATCATTATAATTTAAATGCTAGCTTGGCAAGAAAAAATTATATTAAATCTGGTGGCTGTCCTCGCTGTCCCAACGTCGAGGAGGATTTTGACCACATTCTCTGGTCTTGTCCCAGATATAACTCATTCCGACCGAATCTAATAAAAGCTCTCTCTAGGGCTCTAAAATGTTCCCCTCCTTTCAGCTCAGTTCAATTTCTCACTAACCCTACTCCCAGAGTTGTCTCTCATGTGTTTAGATTTTTAAAACATATAAATATAAAGATTTGATTTAATAACTTTTTCTAATTTGCTTTTATCTCAGGAGCTCCAGAGAGAAAGTTTTGTCGGGAACTTTTCCCTCTGGGTGAACAGTAGAGTAACTTGGAGCTGCGGTTCCCTTCAGCAAACTACTCTCTAGAATCCCTCCTCTTTGTTATTTTTCTTTATTAAACTAATTTTCCTTTCTTGTCTTTTCTTCTATTTCAAATTTACCGCTCTTCTATTTAACCAGTTATACGTTCTCAGCGTTTACATAGTACGTATATTCACTTTTAAGCAACATCCACTCACCAGGTCATGGCCAGATATACGCAGGCGCAAGCCAGTATAGTGCCAACGTTAAACAAACTTAACTCGTCGCTCTTTAAAGAACGATGAGAGAGATAATCTTTGTGTGACGAAGTCTGTTAAATGTCAAAAAATAGGGTTATGTTGTAGTGTTGTCAAAAGCAAGTGACATTAATAAAAGAAGTGGAAAATAATAATAAAAAGGACTTCGTAGTAATAAACTTAAGAAAGGAAAAGTAAGTACATTTTATCATGGAATTACAAAAAAAATCGTTATAAACGGGGTGATGAGTGAACATTAAAAAGCAGATTGTTTACATGGACACAAATTGATAATTTATGATAACATAATTTTTCTTTATTTATTGTCATAAATAATGTGCCTATAATGCTAAATTAAATTTATCATATAAATACTTAATTTTAATAAATGATATGAACTTAAAATAAATGACAATTATTACGAAAATTAGGTTATAAAATGTTTCAGATGAATAACGTGTCTTTATTTATAACACATCGGTTTACATTATTTTTCGAACAATAACAAAAAAAATTAATATTGCATTCTATTCATAAATTATCAATTTGTGTCCATGTAAACAATCTGCTTTTTAATGTTCACTCATCACCCCGTTTATAACGATTTTTTTTGTAATTCCATGATAAAATGTACTTACTTTTCCTTTCTTAAGTTTATTACTACGAAGTCCTTTTTATTATTATTTTCCACTTCTTTTATTAATGTCACTTGCTTTTGACAACACTACAACATAACCCTATTTTTTGACATTTAACAGACTTCGTCACGCAAAGATTATCTCTCTCATCGTTCTTTAAAAAGCGACGAAGATGGAACGTGCGCACTGCGCTTGCGTACAATTTTAAAAGGCGATTACTATCCGTGAACGAAGGCAGACATTTGGCTCACAAGCTGAAGCGGAGTGCAGTCTCCTTATTATTACTCCGTGACATGCATGCACGCGTGCGTGCAATTTTCTGGTATTTCATAGCATTTAAGGCGATTGTACACCTCACAAATTCTGAGTATCCTCGCGGAATTTGTCAGAAGTTTCACTAACTTTGATTGGCTTTGCTCATAGAGAATTTCGAAATTTTCCTATCTTTTAGAAATTCTCCATGAGCAAGGCCAATCAAAATTGGTATAACTTTTGACAATTTCCGAGTATACTTAGAATTTGTGAGGTATACAAGCGCCTTTACGTTCTGTCACGTTTTCAATGTGTATGTTTGGACAGGCTGCAGAATTTATAAAGAAATATTTGTATTTATTTATTTAAATATTCTATAAAAAATAAAAATAAACAAAGGGTTAGAAGGTAAGTGACATTATTATTGTTTTTAATAATAAAGTAATTTATTTTATATACATTCTGAGGTTATGTTTCAGAAAGCGAGTATAAATTTATACAAATAAAAATTAATTATATCATTAAGGGGTTTCCTAAATTTTTTTGGTCAAAAAAATCGAATTTATTTTTCTTCATTTTTTGATAGGAAAGTATGTTAAGAATGTGTGGTTAAATCATTAGATCGTAATTCGCTCAAAATCTTAAGTTATTTAACAAAATACATATATATATATGCGTCTACAGATCGTATAATTAACCCTTTCGTGTCCACGATAAACCGAGCGAATGGATTTGCTTGAAATTCGTTACTCGGGGTGTTATTGGGGTCTCTGATTACGAATTTAATGTCAGATTTTAAAAATTCAAAATGGCGGATCCAATATGGCTGACAAGTTTTTTAAAAAGTGTTTAGATTGGCTCGAAATGTCCTACTCGGGGGTTTATGGGGTCGCTGATTACGAATCCGGTGTCCATTTTTCAAATTTCAAAATGGCGGATCCAATATGGCGGACGAGTTTTTAAAAAATGCTTGGATTTGCTTGAAATTTACTACTTGGGGGTTTTTGAGGTCGATGATTACAAATCTGAAGTCATATTTTAAAAATTCAAAATGGCGGATCCAAGATGTCGGACAAATTTAAAAAATGCTTGGATTGAATATGATGACAGAATTCGAAAATTCAAATATAAAAAAGGTTTTTTGGTTTGCTGATAATAAACCCGACATGGTCATGGACCCAGTACGGACAATTCATCATATTCATATCATTTCATCATTTTCGAGCAAATCCGATTAGTTTTAAAATTTTTCGTCCGCCATATTGGATCCGCCATTTTGAATTTTTAAATTCTGACATCATATTCGTAATCAGCGACCCCAAAAACCCCCGAGTACCAAGTTTCGAGTAAATGCAATTGATTTTTAACTTTCATGTCCGCCATATTGGATCCGCCATTTCGAATTTTTAAAAACTGACATCATATTCGTAATCAGCGACCCCAAAAACCCCTGAGTAAGAATTTTCAAGCTGATTTAGTTACTTCTGCTTGACTAATTATAACCTTTTGATATCAAAACTTTAAACGCTTTTTTCTCAAAACACTATATTTAAAAATGGTAACCAGTAGAACTCAAAAACCGTTTGACCGATTTCAAAAATTCAAGTTGCATTCGATTCAGTGGAAGTTTTTGCAGGCCCTAAACCTCTAATATATTTAAAATATTCAATAATCAGGTTTTTGTGAGTGATTGATTGTCAAAAAAATGGTGTTTTTTCAGTTTTTTGGGTTCCAAAGCTTGCCATTTTTTTAATTTTTGATTTTTTTTAATATCTCGAGGTTTAGGACCTGTATTAGGTCTTAAACTTTAAAATCACGTTTGATTTTTTTATTTTAGATGATTCTGCGATGAGCTACAGTGGTTACCGTAAAGGACTTTGATTTTGACCAGTGTACATAGCGACCTCTGTAGAAGGAGCATAATAATATTTTTTAAGATCGCAATTTTTTTTTAAATAGTTCTTGACGTATATAGTAACATGTAAAAACTTTTGATCAATTATATTTTAAAACTTATGAGTACACGATCTTTTATAAACCTTCTATTTTAGGGCAAAAAAATTTAGGAAACCCCTTAAAAAAATATAGTCACTTAGCTTTTAACCTTTTGTTTATTTTTATTTTTTATAGAATATTTAAATAAATAAATACAAATATTTCTTTATAAAATCTGCAATCTGTCCAGACATACACGTTGAAAACGTGACAGAACGTAAATGCTATGAAATACCAAAAAATTGCACGCACGCGTGCATGCATGCCATCAATTCAACTCGATTTTGCTACATTTAGCCTAAATGTATACGTGCCTTCAGGTGGCCCATAGGCGCTTCCGTAGAAACGAGTATAAGTTGGTTTTGCCTCATTAAGGCCTTTCTGCAATATATTCCTAAATGTTTGCGTTGCGTGACTGACGCGTTGATTCACAAGCGCAGTGACGGCATCAAAGCATTGATACCAATCGCGAACAAAAAGTTTGGTTTATGTTCCTCTTCTCTCTGTTTCCCAACCTTACAATTTTAAATGCAAATGTTTCAGGCCTAAGCAGAATAGATTCTTGAACGGGAATGCAATCGTGAACGGAAACGTAAGAATGTGTAAGAGAAGGATAGCAAATATCTTTATTCTTCTCTCACTCATTCTTACGTTTCCGTTTACGATTGCGTTCCCGTTCAAGAATCTATTCTGCTTAGGCCTTTCTCGACGGCTTTTAATAATTTTAATTATTTAATATTTATAATTAAAAAAAGTAGTGTCTTAAAAACACAAACCAAACTTTTTGTTCGCAATTGGTATCAATGCTTTGATGATGTCACTGCGCTTGCGAACCAACGCATCAGTCACGCAACGCAAACATTAGAAACCTATTGGAGAAAGGTACGGAAGCCTGTACGGCTCACGAGCGTCTCGGACGCAAGTGGCGGTGTTTCGTACCACAAATGGTACGAAGTCCGTCCAACTTGTGGCAAGTTCGTTAGTTCGTGCTACTTGTTGGCCAGACTTCGTGCCACTTGTGGAAAGTGGATTTTTTGAAGGGTCATTCACAAATATGACAATTCCGTTGGATCCTGTTGCTATCTATTTCGTCAGTGCTTTTCATTTCAATTTCATGTGAAGAAGAAAAAATGAATTTTATAATATATTAGTAATATTAGCATCAAGAAGACTAGAGACAGGAGAGATAACTCAAGTGGTGGGGGTAAGGTAGAAAGTGAGGGCAGGGTAGGAGTTTCTGTCTGCAAGTAGTTCGTGTGGTAGTCACAGAATGGGTTTCTGCGCATACATGTGTGAATACATTTAGGTTATGTTACTTTGTTTGGTAATCAAATGACACGTGATTTTTAATAAATTGAAATTAATGAGTCTTAGTTAGCAAATCCATTTTATAATACAATCAAGTATACCAAATTAGATTACTGACAGGTTGTCAATTTTTGATGAAAAATTTGAACACTTTTTAAATTAACTTTTGACAAGCTTTGTCGTCTGCTTTGTTGTCTCTCCAGCTGTATAACGGATCTGACGTCACAAGTTACACATCCGGATGCGCAGAAGCCTAATTTTGACCAACGGCACGAACTACTTGCCAAAACCGCCACCTACACTGCCCTCGAAACTTTCTTCACAACGCTCTGTGGAAATGCGCCACAGTTACTTCTCCTGTCTCTATAGTCTTCTTGATTAGCATATAAGTAAATGTCATCGAACAAACTTTTTATAGTTCACACATAAATACTCCTTCCAAACGTAAATATACATATTAATAAAGTACGCCCTACCGAAAGAGTGGTACTGGAATGGTACTAAATTGGACTTGGCTTGAGTTCCACTTCAGTACCACTACCTGATAACCCATAAGAAGACATTTTTAAAGTACTTTAACAATAGTTTTAAAGGTATATAAGATCAACAAACCGTCTCTCATGATATACGTGTAAAACAGCAAAAAAAAAACATAATAGTTTGTAGAAAATTTCTGTTAAGTTTGGAAATTATATTGCAATCCCTCCTTGAACAATAGATCCCTAGGTCCTTTGTTGGAGGATTAAAATTTTAACCCGAGTTTTATTGCTTAAAAAATTTGTAATTTTAATAACTCAACTTTAAAAAATATATATTCAGATCCGTTAATATTTCCAGATTATGAATATCTAAAATTTATCATAAAATAATTACATTTAAAAAAGTTATAATTTATCTCGTATACCTTAAGTTTGATAAAAAAATGGACATCATTTTTGAATTTAGCTGACAAAGGAAATATCATATGCATAATAATGTATGAAAATAATATAAATCCATGAAAAACAAATATAATATTGAAATAAATATAAAGTTTTAGTTTAAACATATTGAAAAAGCTGGACGCTTTTCACTTTTATGAGGGTATTAACGGTAACTCGACCCTTTTCGCAGGTAAATTTCCCAGTTCCATTTCAGTACCAAAATGCACCAAATTAGTACTGAGTTGGTACTGAGATCTCAGTTCCAATTTCCCAGTACCGATCCAGTACCACCCTTCCGGTAGGGCGGATTCCACTAAGAATTAAGCGGAAGTTTTTTCTTAGTTTTTTTTTAATTTTTCTTAGTTTAGAATAAAAATAAGATTTTTTGGTTATGTTGTCATTTTTTAATTTAAAATACATGAAGAGGATTTTATTTTTTAAAATCAAAAGTATATTTTTATGAATATTTAAGATTAATAAAGATGTCAATATAATTTGTTAACACTGAAATGTAATCTTTTACATGTATTTTCAATTAAAAAATAACAAATTTATTTTTATTCAAAAACATTAAACGGACTTGCCCGGATGAAATTATACTTGAAATGAAAAGCACTGACGAAATAGACGGCAACAGAATACAACGGAATTGTCATATTTGTGAATGACCCTTCAAAAAATCCACTTTCCACAAGTGGCACGGAGTCTGTCCAACAAGTGGCACGAACTAAAGAACTTGCCACAAGTTGGACGGACTTCGTGCCACTTGTGGTACGAAACACCGCCACTTGCGTCCGAGACGCTCGTGAGCCGAACAGGCTTCCGTAGAAAGGCCTTTAAGGCCTTTCTCCAATAGGAACCTAAACTTTTGCGTTGCGTGACTGACGCGTTGATTTTAGCATTGGTTGCCAATAGCAACCGACGCAATGCATACGCAACGCAAGAGTTTAGGATCCTATTGGAGAAAGGCCTTTACGAGGTGGCGCGTAGAAGCTTCCGTAGCCTTCGGTATCGTACGGAAGCCTGTACGGCTCATGAGCGTCTCAGACGCAAGTGGCGGTGTTTCGTACCACAAGTGGCACGAAGTCCGTCCAACTTGTGGCAAGTTCGTTAGTTCGTGCCACTTGTGGAAAGTGGATTTTTTGAAGGGTCATTCACAAATATGACAATTCCGTTGGATACTGTTGCTATCTATTTCGTCAGTGCTTTTCATTTCAATTTCATGTGAAGAAGAAGAAATGAATTTTATAAGGTATTAGTAATATTAGCATATTAGTAAATGTCATCGAACAAACTTTTTATAGTTCACACATAAATACTCCTTCCAAACGTAAATATACATATTAATAAACTAAGGATTCCACTAAGAATTAAGCGGAAGTTTTTTCTTAGTTTTTTTTTTAATTTTTCTTAGTTTAGAATAAAAATAAGATTTTTTGGTTATGTTGTCATTTTTAGGGTTCCGTACTCGGTTCGGAACCCTATTAATATCGGTTTTTTTGAAATCGTGTACCCCCCCCCCTAGCGGCCACACAAATTTATCTGGAGGGCTGACAATTAGTACACATATGTATTTTCGCGTGTAGATTACAGGAAAATTATAGCGAACTTGATTGGAATTGATTAACATAGCGTTGTCAAGGAAAAACCATGAATTTTTACGAAAAATGCCTAAAAATGACTATGTACCCCCCCCCCTAACTGCCACATCTTTTGACATAAAGAGCTCAAATTTGACACACTTACGTATTTTTACGTGAAAATTACAGGAAAATTATAGCGAACTTGATTCGGATCAATTTACATAGCGTTGTCAAGGAAAAATCAAATATTTCGAAAAAAATGATTTATTCTCCCTAGCGCACACAATATTCAACCCAGACAGTTTATATTTAGTATACAAATGTATTTTTACGGGAAAAATACAGGGGAAAAAAAGCGGTCACGATTAGAGTTGATGATTAACTTTTTATCAAGTTTTTCAAGAAAAAATGACAATTTTAGGAAAAAAATGTATTTTTCCACCAAAAACGAACAAAATTTTATTTAAAGGAAATTAAATTTATATATTTTAACGTATTTTTTTGTGTAGATTACAAAAAAAATATAGCGAGCATGATTGGAGTTGATTATCATAGCGTTGTCAAGGAAAAACCATGAATTTTTACGAAAAATACCTAAAAATGAGTATGTACCCCCCCCCCCTAGCGGCCACATCTTTTGACATAAAGAGCTCAAATTTGACACACTTACGTATTTTTACGTGAAAATTACAGGAAAATTATAGCGAACTTGATTCGGATCAATTTACATAGCGTTGTCAAGGAAAAATCAAAAATTTCGAAAAAAATGATTTATTCTCCCTAGCGCACACAATATTCAATCCAGACTGTTCATACTTGCTGTAAAACTCAATTTTTGCGTGAAAAATACAGGGAAAAAATGTAAGCGCGATTGGAGTTGATGATCAATTTTTATCAAATTTTTGAAGAAAAATGATAAATTTAATAAAAAAATGTATTTTTCCGCAAAAAACGAAAAAAATCGGACAAGTGCGAGTTACACTCGCACTGAAATCGAGGGTTCCGTACTCGAAGCGAACTTATTTGGTATAAAAACAAATGTTTAAAAAATATGTGTTGTGTATTAAATAATATATGTGATACAAAAATGAAAAATTTAAAAAAAAAAATTTAAGAAAATTGTTCCTCCTTTGGTATAAAAACAAAAAAAAACTTTTAAATTTGTTTTGTATTTCAAATAATATAAGTGATACAAAAAGGAACAATTTTCTTAAATTTTACAAAATTGTTCCTTTTTGTATCACTTATATTATTTGAAGTACAAAACAAATTAAAAAATTTTTTTTGGTTTTTATACCAAAGGAGAAACAATTTTCTTAAATTTTTTTTAAAAAATTTTTCATTTTTGTATCACATATATTATTTAATACACAACACATATTTTTTAAACATTTGTTTTTATACCAAATAAGTTCGCTTCGAGTACGGAACCCTCGATTTCAGTGCGAGTGTAACTCGCACTTGTCCGATTTTTTAATTTAAAGGTGCTTATATACCTCAAATTTCGATCAGATGAACATTATTTCTGGACCGTAAAAATGCGTGAAAAGTCATTTTCACGGCGGGTATTTTTGAATTGTTTTAAACAAAAAATGTTTTTTTTAAGAAATATAATATTAAATAATTGTTTTAATATGTAAGAACACTTTAAAATAGTGATAAAAAGATGATTTGATTGAAAAATTTAGCAAATTTTGCTTTAAAACGTTTCTGCTACAAGAAAGTCTAAAATGACGATGTTTGTGAAATGGTTTGTACAGTGTACATGTGTACATGTTTCTTTCAGTTATTCGAAACAATTAGTTGAATTTAAATTTATTTGATAAACATTTCAACTTACCGATTTATTTTCAGCACTCATTATTTATTACAAGTTAAAAAGAAACGACATAACATAAACAAAACTCTGAGAGACACTCACAAGGAAGAAGCACTGTACAAACCATTTCACAAACATCGTCATTTTACACTTTCTTGTAGCAGAAAACGTTTTAAAGCAAAATTTGCTAAATTTTTTAATCAAATCATCTCTCTATCAGTATTTTAAAGTGTTCTTACATATTAAAACAATTATTTAATATTATATTTCTTAAAAAAACATTTTTTGTTTAAAACAATTCAAAAATACCCGCCGTGAAAATGACTTTTCACGCATTTTCACGGTCCAGAAATAATGTTCATCTGATCGAAATTTGAGGTATATAAGCACCTTAAAATACATGAAGAGGATTTTATTTTTTAAAATCAAAAGTATATTTTTATGAATATTTAAGATTAATAAAGATGTCAATATCATTTGTTAACACTGAAATGTAATCTTTTACATGTATTTTCAATTAAAAAATAACAAATTTATTTTTATTCAAAAACATTAAACGGACTTGCCCGGATGAAATTATACTTGAAATGAAAAGCACTGACGAAATAGACGGCAACAGAATACAACGGAATTGTCATATTTGTGAATGACCCTTCAAAAAATCCACTTTCCACAAGTGGCACGGAGTCTGTCCAACAAGTGGCACGAACTAAAGAACTTGCCACAAGTTGGACGGACTTCGTGCCACTTGTGGTACGAAACACTGCCACTTGCGTCCGAGACGCTCGTGAGCCGAACAGGCTTCCGTACTTCCGTAGTAACGGCCTATGCAACCTTTCGAACGACATTCGAGAAACAATTGTGCGTTATCCTTTAGTCGGTTTAGGCTTTCGGAACTATTGTGCGATGGCTTTTATTTTATGTTCAGGAACATTTCAAAGTTTATTGTGCGTTGACCCTGAGTAAATAGACTTGATGTGTTTTTTTTAAAGGACCTGCTAGATTTTCCCTGTCGATCATGAAAAACGTTAGAAAAAACAGTGAAATAGGTTAATTATAGGTTCGCTAAAAGTTTATAAAAATAGCTGAAAACATTTCAGTAAATTTTATTTCCAAGATTACTTCCAAACAATGTCAGACTGTTCTAAAATGGGCCTCGCTGGCTCTAAAAATGTTGATACTGTAGATCCTGTTGAAAATGTGTCTGTAAACGAAACTGACAGTACAATCGAGTCTCAAAATAATTTGGTTCATTCAGAGGAACTAAGTAATACTATTGCCGATAAAAATTGGGCTAGTGAAGAGTTACAAGCATTGGATATTAATAATGAAACAGCATCTCAGTGTGTAGCTACTAGTGATTCCACGTTTGAAAGTGAAATTGACGCTCTTACTAAAATAATAATAGACGAAAAAGAAGATGCAAATAAAGGTATAGCAGATTTTAATGAAGTCGAAAAGTGTGATAATAGAGTGGAATTAGAAGACAATTATGATGATGTTGGCATCGACACAATTTTGGAAAAACATTCGGACAATGAAGAATCTGTTTCGATTGAAAAGAAGGAAGAAAAGAAATCTGAAAATCAGATTATTCAGGAAAAATTAACTGGTAAGTAACTAGCAAAAATAACAAGGGAGTAGTTTCTGATTTCAAGTTCGATATTTTATAGTTATCTCATTTTTCAAATTATGTATTATATCCACAAAATTAAATATTAAATATGAGGTTACAGGGCTGCATTGGAGCGGTATCTCTTTCTCATGTCTAGATTCTACACTTAAAAATTCTGAACATTAAATTGTACACTGTCAAATTTTAAAGATTTTATTAAATTTATTTTGTTAAATTGTTCAGACACGCTAAAAAAAGGCTATTTTCGTGAATTTTTTTGACAGGTTTCAATTATAAATATTGATATACCTATAAGGTGTTACACTTAATATACTAACTCTAGAAATACATAAAAAAAAATTTTTATTTTAGTGATTTTTACATATAAAAATGGTAGGGTAAGTGCCTCAATTACTGCGCATTCATAAACAATAGCTATTATTACTATTATATTCAATATACAAACTGTTGAAAAATAATTAAAAAAAATTATTTCAATCTTTTTTTGATACAATTACTAATAAAGATGCACTTTTAAACAATTATTATATTAATTATTTGAGTTTAAATTTTTTCTCTCGCCGTAAATTAAACATTTTTAAGATTTTCATTCCATTCAAAATACACGTAATTTTGGTCACCGTAATTGATACACCGAAACTGATACAAACGCGCCGTAATAGAAAATTACAATATTAGTTTTAATTTCTCATATTTTTTTAAATAATCGATTTTTATAAAGTTAAATTTTTTTTAAAAAATCTAAATAACATAAGCTTTTAGTTTAATAAGTCGTAAATTGTCTTTATACGATAGAAATGTCGAATTTTCCATTTCAAAGGTGTATTGACTCGAATCGCGCCGCAATTAGTATATTTACCCTATAATATAATAATATTTTCTATAATATTGGAAATATTCACTATAAACCGATTGAATATGATTATGATAATGTAATTTTATAATTTAAAATAATGATAAAATTCAAAATAGAAAAAAATGGCAATTTTATCGTTCTTTGCAATTTTGACAGCTTTACATTGCCAAATTGTAAATTTTGACCTCAAATTCATAATCAGCGAGAAAAAATACGTCTAGAAAAGCTGCACCGACATTAATTGAACTATTTATTTGCGCTCTGGACCACAAACAGACAAAAATATTGACAATATTTACAGTTTTTTGCAATTTTGACAGATTTAAACTGCTAAATCGTCAATTTTTAACCGCTACCGATATCCCATTGGTCAAATTTCTTATATAAAATTTTTTAATCATTATGATAATGCAATTTTATAATTCAAAATAGAAAAAATTGGCAATTTTTACCATTTTTTGCAATTTTGACAACTTTAAATTACCCAATCGCCAAATTTGAACCCGAATTCATAATTGGCAAGCAAAAACACGTTCAGGAAAGCTGTACCGACATTTATTGAACTATTTATTTGCGCTCTACACCGCGAACAGGCAAAAAATGACAATATTTATCTTTTTTGCAATTTTGACAGCTTTAAACTGCCAAATGGTCAATTTTGACCTCAAATCCTTCATCAGCGACCAAAAATACATCTAGAATGACTATGGAGAAAATTTTAAAGCACTTAATATTTGCACATGAGCTTGAACAGACAGAAAAATGCCTTGTACTTTATTATTATTAATTATTAAAAATTAAAAAAAAATAATTTTTAAAATTTTCATTTCATTACTGAAAGTACATTTACTCAATGATATGTCCATAAAATTTTGTTTAATTTATGAAAACAATTCAATTAGTTATAATTATTTTAATAAAAAGGTTCAAAACTCTTCAAGTAACAATAAATATTACAAATAATTTGAATATTTTCAACATACTCCGTCAACTTATTACCAGATACTAGTGTTACTACGAAAGAGTTGAGTGAACCTATGTGTGCATTAATGAATGATCACACCCAAACCCTTACATTATTATTAAAGTAAAAGTGAAAACAGTAGCAAGTTATCAAAAACAAATAAAAATTTATCACTAGTTAATTTATTAAAATTTCTCATTAATTTTCTTAATTGCCCTTTTCTTGTTTTTGAAAATAAAAATAATGTTCATTTTGGGAACGTTTATGTGTAATATTTGTCTACTCTAAAAAAATCGATTTAATTTCCCTGAAATTCGTTACTCGGCGGTTTTTGGGGTCACTGATTACGAATCTGAGGTCATAATTCCAGAATTTAAAATGGCGAATCCAATATAAAAATTGTCAGGTACCTCCGATTTTCATTTTGTAAATGGTAGTTTAAGGTGCCAGGAAGTCAGAGATTCGGCCGTTCCAAAAGTTCTCTAAAAACAATTCTGATCGGGCAGACGTTAAAGGCATGAGATTCAATTGTAAGAATCTCATGAAGCGGGTATCAAAGACTAAAAGTTGAACGTGTACTGTGATCGTCTTCTGTAAAACTATTGTCGTGCTTCAATTATACAGAATTTATACAGAATAACCATAATTTTATCTTTAAGCAATAACGCGAATCTTACGAGTAGTATAGTCCTTTCGTCATGATGTGATCTATATTAGCTATTTTACATCATCCAAATGTAAAAGTTTGAACTCAATGTAGTGAATGATGAATTAAATAACTTTATGAAAGTTACAAGAACAGAAAATTGCATAATAAAATTTGGTAAAAATGTGTACTATGATTGTGTATTATCAATTGTAACACGAAACTACTCTTCCGGATGAGATACGGGAAATTCAACTCATTGATATCAGGTCGTGCCCGCATTAAATGAAAGACTAGTTTTGACACTTTTTACATCATCTAATGCTGTACAAAATAAGGAAATAACTACATAAGTAAAGATTGTATCGTTCATTTTTATAAAACTCATTTTCAAAGAAAAACAAACTACGACAAACTTAAAAGCATAATGTGTTGTTTTGACCTATGCCTATTCTTGGCTTTTCTTTGACATAGAATTGTTTATTGAACAAAGACAGAAAGAATTTGAAATTATAACCCTACTATAATTCGAAACTAAATTCATGTTTAAATTCTTAATGAACTGATAATTAAAGGAAAAACTAAATTGTAATAGAATCTCTAAAAAGTTAATTTTTATGTAATAAACACAAGTAAATTTATAGAGTTGTTTGATTTAGCTTATCCTTAATCATCAATAGAAATAGACATATGAGAAATGATAATGATATTCTATCAATCCAGGAAACGATCCCATAAATTAAAAACTTAATAAATATAAGATTTGATTTTCTTTGTATTTATTTTGGTTCTTATGGCCGAAGAGAAGGAATTAATAACAGTAGTTAATTTCTTAAATAAACATACTCATAACAACTAGTACTTGAAAATCCAAAGACTTATTTTAAATTTTCCAACTTTATAAAAATAGGGAGGGGCCACTTCAGAAATTTTTACTCTATTATTAAAGTTTATTATTTCTTATTTAATTTTTCTGAAACTTTGCATTTTTGTAGTTTAAGGCCTCCTGAACAAGAAATGTTAATGACAAAATTTAAAATAATGGCCATTTTTTTAGCTACAGTAGCTCAAAGTTGAAATATAATAACATAAAATATAAGGTTTTTGTGAATGTTCTGTTCTTAAATATCAATCAAAATCACGCAGAATATGTTACTTCGGGGTTTTTGGGGTCACTGATCACGAATCTAAGGTCAGAATTCAAAATGGCGGAGGATTCTGGAAAAATCACTCGAATTCAATCAGAATCTGTTACTTACTTTCTCTTTTGGTTCTATTAAAAAGAACGATATGACACTTATACTTGCATTTCTGGCATTTTTATTATTATATATTATTATATATATTATTATTCTAGTTATTTTTTTTAAAGATAAATCTAGTTAGACGGTTTTCCCGTCGGTGAGTAGTAATCATTGACAACGCAGCTTTGAATAGCTGAATATGCATTGTCGTAATTAAGATCAATGATACTGAGATTCTGTTGCCAGTTTGGACCATCCATATTAAAGTGAAAGTCAGCGAGGAGGCGGTGGTCGAAACGTAGGTTCATGATTGAGAACCTAGCCATTAATTGATAATTGATTGGGAGCTCGAACTCATATTATTTAATATTATTTAATATTATTATTAATAATAAAGAATTTTTTATTTATTATTATTTGTTATTTTATCTTATTATCTATTTACTTACTGCATGATACTTAGGTAATAGCTGGTTCATCATATAATATTGTCTCTATTGGCCATTTCATTTTCTGCTTTAACTACAAAATGACGTGACATGATCCTCAATACACGGTGTTTTATAAAAATTGTCAGGTACCTCCGATTTTCATTTTGTAAATGGTAGTTTGAAGTGCCAGGAAGTCAGTCTAAAAGTTTTTAAAATTGAAAACAAATGCTCCACCCCTCAAAACAGCATAAAAATAATAAAAAAATTTAAAATCAGGTATTACGTGAAGAGAAAATAGCTTGTACATATATATGGACGGGTACCTCTGATTTCTTTTTTCAAATGGTTCTTCAAGATACTAAGAGCCACAAAAAATTTTTTAAGTTTCAAAAATGCAAATTTAAGCTAAGACCATAAAGATTATGTTGTAAAATTGTCAAATTTTTCCATACATTATTCTAAATTATGCCAGGAGTCAAAAACATTAGTACGAAAGTATGAAAATTGCATAATTTTTTCTTGAAATCTTTTTGGTGTTATAAAAGCTAAAAGGAAGAAAAAAATTTTTTTTGACATACATTTAGACGCGAAATTTTATCAGCTTTCCAACCATCTAAGTTTCAAGTCTCTAACTTTTTTCTAACTTAAAATATCTTTCTTTAAAGTCAACATCAAATTTTTACTCCTCGCTCGTCAGCCGTACCGACAATTTCTGCCGGTATACTTTTCGCGGGGGGCATGAGTTTTTGATTCCAAAAACTATTACAATAACTTCTTAGTATCCTGAAGAACCAGTTTTAAAAAAAATCAGAGGTACCCGTCAATATATAAGTAC